TAGAGCAGATAAACATACGTTGAAACAACGAAGCTATAATTTTTTTCCTATTAATTTCTCGATCGTTTCAATGGCAGCTATAACATATAGTCGTCCGATTTTCATAAAATTTTTACCAAAATTCTGTAATAATATAAAATGACCATATCTAATGGGTAAAATGGTGCTGAAATGTTGAAAAACAGCAAAGTTATAATTTATTTTCTAAAAATATATCGAACATTTGTATGGCAGCTATATGATATAGTCGTCCGATCCGGCCCGTTCCGACATATATAGCAGTGAGAGCATATAGAAGACTATATGCAAAGTTTCATTCAGATGGCTTTAAAACTGAGGGACTAGTATGCGTAGAAACAGACAGACGGACATTGCTAGATCGATTCGGCTGTTGATGCTGATCAAGAATATATATACTTTATAGGGTCGGAAAGGTCTCCTTCACTGCGTTGCAAACTTCTGACTGAAATTATAATACCCTGCAAGGGTATAAAAAGCCATTTACTTTTCATTCCGGCCAGATAAAGGCGCCCGTTTTTCAAATCGAAAAAATCTTTCGTTTTCGATTACCGTAGCACCAATTCTCGTTTTCAAAAACGAAAACGAAAAATTCTTGCCGTTTTCGATTACCGGAGCAGGCCTGACTATCTTGGAATGACCACACTAATATAATGATAGGAAGAATATGTGGAATATTGCGACTGCTATATATAACGCTAGTCATACCAACTTTTTTTTTATGGGGTAGAGATATTTGGCAATTGTGATATAAGTCAGCAAAAAATTAAAGGTTACAATCAATAATGGTGAACGATATATTTAGAATTTGAAAAAAACCGACCGAAAAGAGAGCGCGAATAAAATATTTGATTTTAATATACGTACATGGGTCGATTTTCGAATTATATTATTTTTCCACAAAATTATAATTATAAAGCAACCTTAGTATTCATTTGACCTATTTAGATTTTCCTCACGACGCACCAACAATATGATTAGTATATGAACAAGACTTGCAAGTTGTGAGAGGCAATTCTTTGTTAAGCTACTCAATTATGGAATTGTCTCTCCAACCGACTAAAGTTAATTAGAGGCACATCACAATTCGAAAATAGTCTTAAAATGTATCTTACCACATACACACAAATTCATAAACCATATATATAACCGATGCCAAAAATGTAATACAAATACTTAGTATAACATATAATTTAAACTATCAATGAAAAACAAATGTAAGATGAGTTGATAACGCCGCTCAGTTTGTTCTTTATTATAGTACGTTTTTAGCAAGCGACTTCCCCTTCTTGATGCCATCAATCTGAGATTTGTGCAACTCGCGCAGCTTGTGGTTGCTGGCCAGATCTGATGTAAGACTTGCTCTTCGCGGCGTCTCCGCCAATTGCTCTTGGGTTGTTCCAGCATCGCAGCGGGTCAGCTTCTTGATCACTGCCTCATAGCCAATGGTTCTTCTATTTCGATCCGTTGGCGGCTTCTTCAGCACCTTCTTCAGCACCTTCTTTCGCATCTTGGCTTGGACTTCTGCCACTGTATTCAGGGCCTTGTAGTTCTTGATCAGCTGCGACACTCCTTTAGCATACTGATTTGGCTTCTCACAAGCGTTCTCCTTCACCGGGGAAGAAAACTTGTATCCGTCGGCCGACAGCGAAAAGTAAAACTTTGAGACGAAATCGAAACCCAGCACAGCATCATACTCAATGTCCGCATCCTCCACTACAACAAAGTTGTGTGTCGTCAACTCCTAAACTACTGCAACCTCAGCCAAAAAGTAGCCCACTGGGCACGTCATCCTTTTTCCAAGCCCACGCAGCTTCGACACACATCTTTTCAAGATACCATTGGGTATTTTTTCAAAGACATACTTGCGCAAAATAGTTACGTCGGCTTCCGTATCTACCAGACACTCTACTTCCACGTCATTGATGGTCACCTTTTTCATGCAATTTGCACTCCGCACAACCTGAACTCCTGCAGCTGATTCAGGGCAATCCCTTGACATGTGACCCTCTTTGTTGCAACTGAAGCATTTCACGGCACTATTATAGTAGTAACTCTTGCTGTCGTTGAAATCGTGCTGTTCCTTTTTTTCGACGTCCACTCCCCATCGTTCGGCTTGAACTGCTTCTCGCCCACGCGTTCGTACATTGCATACTGCTCCTGTAGCTCTTTGTACGTTTTGCAACAGTAGAGAGTATCTGAAGACACTCCTCATGTTTAGGCCGTCAACAACATATCGGATCACTGAACGTACATCATTGTTACCAAGTTATGCAATCTTTTTCGTCTGCAGCAGTGTTACTATAAACTTATTTTATTAATTCATAATTACAACATTTTCTGATTGGCGCAATAATTAAATAGTAAAATATTTGTAGCGTCAGGATTTTAAATAAACAAATTAATCAATCAAACAAAACAGGGAAACGAAAAAGTTTTTTCAACAGCAGCTGGTGGTTTACCGAATCAAAAGCTTAGCTGAATTCTATTCAACGTCAGTTTGGGTATTGTTTTTAAACGCGTCTCTAATGACAGCACAAAATTCGAGAAGGTTTATGGAAGTAGATCTGTGTTTCATAAAGCCATGCTGTGAGGGGACATTATTGGGCGACATTGGTGCTGAGGTTGAACAGTAATTAAGAGTTTGGAATCGCACTAAGTTTTGAAATGTAGTTTTATATATATATATGTCGGAAAGTTGGTTGCTAAGTACAAATTTGGAATGCCTTGGCAACAGAATTATTCGGCATGCTCAGGTATTGGTAGCCCTGTAGGTGTCGCTGGCGCGCAGCCGCAATGACAGTTGAGTCGGTAACAGGACAAGGACAGAAGACTGTCGGTTACTGAGTGAGGTCATGATACAATCATAGTAGGTAGTCTATTCGGCAGTCAAAGCACTCGGGTTTTGCTTCAGTGCTTGTATCATGATTGAGGTCTGTTCGTCTGTCGCAACAATAGGAGAGAGTGAGAGAGACAGCTTGACGTCTGGGATTGACGTCTGAGTGAAAAGTAAGAAAAGGTGAAAGGGCCACAGGAAAAGTGGCGTGATGACAGATACGATTTGACTGCGCAGGCGAACTGAATTCGCTGGCTCGACTACGGTGGAATTAAATAACGGTTATCTCCGACATATATTTGTTTTATTACCTTTTTATGAAGGGGAATTATGAAAGATTATTTCCAACATTTGTGAAAAAATGAACGCTGAAGGGACAACCGTTTTGAGAATAGCATACATAAGGCGCTAGCACAAATTCTCAAAATGCAACTAGGTACGAGATCTGGATCAGAAGACCATTCTAATACCAATGTACCCTATCCCCTTACAAGAGTTGGATCTAGCATGTTTGAGGAGGTGGGACCTACAATAGTGTGTTTTTCCCCCACGTTTGCTAAACTTATGTTAGTTGAGAGTAAGAGTAACTCACCTCCGTCGTTTATGTTGGGGCTCCCCCATACGCAGTGGTGCGCATTGGAATCTGCACCCATTAGCAGTTGCTGGTCCTTCGAGCTGGCGTCTATCAGGCTCCTCAGTTCTTCTGGTGGGGCCGTCCTGTCGTGCGCCATGTAGCAGGAAGCTACCAAAAGGCGCTTTTTTCCGCTCTCGAGCATCACCACAGTCAGGTTTTCTCAGCTATAATAGAACATAAGGTAAGCGTTCATTTTACCATTTGAGTCATTCCGGTCGATAAGCGTCACGATCACGTTTCGATTGGACCTTCACTGACCTTCGTTCCATTTTCTGCGACTTCTTCGCTTTGGGTGGGGGGCTTGCCTGGTTGGTGGCACTTTCAATCTGGTGGCACTGCTCGACCTAGGGTAGCTTTGCTTTCTCTTTTTGGGAGAGGGTACCTTTGTTTTGAAGCCGGCACTGGATCTTGAGGGACCTTTCGACCCGTCCTTGCGCGGGGAGCTCGTGCCTGTTGTTTGCGAGCATAAAAGGCTCTCTTTCCCTTTAGTATGAGCTGCACGCTGCTTTCCGTTGTCTGGAAAAATACATTTCCTAGGTAAATTTGAGGTATGAGAATTTTTTTTATTATTTTCCAATTTCAGTTTTAATTTTTCTTAAGTCTCATGAATTTATGATATAGCTGCCATAGAAATGATCTTTATAGGTAGACAAAAATGCAAAACTGTAGCTCTAAACCTCTAACTATAAAACTGAAAATATGTATTGTTTGGAGGGGGCGGCTTTAACCTAAAGTGCACTCGATAAGAAAAATAAACGGAGACATTCGGGTAACCTAGCTTTGGGGGAGCGGATTGGAAGCTCTTTGGAGTGGAAGTCCGGAGCGAGAGGGAGATGAAGAGAGAACGTACGGGATCATTGAAGGCTGATAACGGAATCACACTGCCTCCCGAAATTAGGCGCCTTTCTCGCATGAACATATATCTCCTGTTATTATTATTTTTTTTTATTTGATCATAATGGATCGATTCATAAAGCTCCAATTGCAAACTGCAGGGGTATACAAACATCGACGTACTGTTTCTTCTTTATTTTCAGAGTTTGTGTTCTGTGGGACTCGAAATATATATTATATACATATTGCTTTAGTTTTTATGTTACTGGGCGAAGTTCATGTAAACATTTTTTTTTATATGAAGACAGCTAAAAGACCAATAAGGCCAGGAACCTAATGCAGAATTGAAAAAGAAGAATGCAGGCCAAAGGTTTATTTATTTATTTATACCGCGTGCATTTTTGTCATACGCCAGTACGTGCACGTTTTTTGTTTATAGTATACAACAATAATTTTAGCCAGTGATTCTTACTAGTACACTACTGAGCACGGTTTGGGCTAAGGCAAGGAAGTCATATCTTTAAAATAAATTTTCCCTTAGAAATAATTTTCAACTCAGTATTAAGACATAAGTATTATAAGATATAATTTATTTGTCGTAACTTCCTATCCTTTTAATTAACAGTATTTTTTATAAATGTTTGTTATTAAAAATTTTTACAAATTTTCTAATTTCAGTCGCTGGAGAGTACCCGTCGAATGCTGGCACTTTGCGAAGAGGTATGTAAATTAAACTGAGTAATAGTACAACAAATATAATAATATATATATAATAAAATACTTTAGAAGATACAGCCTTTTTTGTGAAGCAAGGTCTTCGCAAAATGAGCTTTTTTCAAACTTCAAACGCGTTTATCTCGAAACCACGTTTTTCAACTGGCGGCCATGATATCTCCAGTTCAACTGAACCGATTTTCATGAAACAAAGTGAAATCGACGCAGAATTGTCACCATTCTCGGGTGACGGAAGGTTTTAATTTTAAAAAATTGTTTCTATTTTTTTTTTTACACTAAACTAAAAAAAGCCAGAAATTGAAAATTTTTTTGAATGGCCGCCATTTTGTTTAAAAAAATTACAAAATTATTTCCCTCCGTCACCGAGAATGACATATATATTGATTATAACCCCGTTTTTTTTCTTTTCAAACGCTCCGGCGACCCGGAATCGTGGCCGGCGTGACGACACCTTTTTTTTCCACCACCAACTTTGAAGTCTCATTACTTTTTGAACAGCCCTCGTATCGAGCCAAAACAAATTTTTATACCCTTGCATGGTATTATAATTTCACTCAGAAGTTTGCAACGCAGTGAAGGAGACGTTTCCGACCCTATAAAGTATATATATTCTTGATCACCATCAACAGCCGAGTCAATCTAGCCATGTCCGTCTGTCCGTCCGTCCGTCCGTCTGTCCGTCCGTCTGTCCGTCCGTCTGTCCGTTTCTACGCAAACTAGTCCCTCAGTTTTAAAGCTATCTGATATGAAACTTTGCATATAGTCTTCTATATACTCTCACTGCTATATATGTCGGAACGGGCCGAATCGGACGACTATATCATAAATCTGCCATACAAATGTTCGATAAATTTTTAGAAAAAAATTTATAACTTGGCTGTTTTTCAACATTTTTGCACCATTTTTTAGATATGGCCATTTTATATTAATTTAAAATTTCGATACAAATTTTATGAAAATCGGACGACTATATGATATAGCTACCATAGGAACGACCGGGAAATTAATAGCTATCATTCGATACCTAAGAGCTTTAGCGTTAGTTGCCATTTACGCTCGCGGCGGTACGCCCCAATTTGTTCATCCCCCGAGCGCTTTCCATTTTGACGATGATCACCGTGTCGACGTGCGTGTTTTGGGTTTTCCGGGCGAGAAAGATAGCCCGGATTCTTGGATTCTTAACTTGGATTCTTAACTGCAGGTTGAAGCACAGCCTGTGGAATAAGGCTCGGACATTTTCGCCCTCACCATATGGTACGCCGTATATGCGCTGAGATGCCAGTTTGGATTCCAGTTGAGCCACCTTTCCACACAGTGCGCGTAGATCAGCGACCTCCCTGTCCCTGTCCCGGCCTTCTCATCCAGTCTGTCCCGTTCTGAGTGGAGAACGATCACCTCCTCAGATAGGTCGTTAATTTTTTGGCTAAACCTGTGTTTAAGCTCCGCCAGAATTCGTTGTTCAGCTTTGTCCAAGCTTGAACTGATGTGCTGATTTTGCTCCGTGAAGCGTTTGTTGATAAGATCAACCAACTCCATTGCCAGGGTATCAGATGGTCGACCCGCCTTCAGATCGATTGACGAGTCAGTTCGCACCCGTTTTAGGGCCAATGCAGATAGCGAGCGTGTAACCGGAGCTGACATTGTTGTTGTTTATGTTAGGGTCGCTTACTCTGTTATTTGTCCTTTGCTTTTCTCTCTGTTGGTGTTGTTGCGGTTGGTCTAATCTCTCGTGCTCACCAGCAAGGACAGTAGAAGAAAGGTAGGTGGAGTGTAGAAGTAGAGATGAGCGGGTTGGTTCTCTGAGCACGGCTGCTCTCAGCACTGATGTTCTCAGTAAAGATAAAGAGAAGCTTAGAAGTCCAAAGATCAGGTGGCTCTCCCAATTAAACAACTTCCTTTGTTTATTATTATGTGGATTGTTTATGATTTGCACTTGAAAGTTGTTGCAGCAACACTAAAATTTGTGTGGTTTTATGTATGTTAAATAATGGTGAGTTTCTTGACAGATTTTTTATTTTTATAGCGGAGGTAACAAAATAAACGTCTGCTCACTGTGACGATTCGATTGGATATATTATTCTTGATATCGCCTCTATCTTGAAAATATATACATCGATCAACAGGTGAATTCTTAAATCCACACCTTTTATACCTGTTCAAATACTTTAAACCAGCATCTAGCTGCTTGTTTGGCCCCATAAATTGCCTTGTTCAATTTGCATATATTTTCATAATTGCAAACAATTCCTTGAGGGACTTTCATGTATATTTCTTCTTTCAATGTTCCATTAAGAAAATCAGTTTTAGCATCCATGTGATGTACATTAAAATTATATTGGTTTGCAATGGATAAAATAAAACGAAGACTAGAAATTCTAGCAACAGGAGCGAACGATCCTTCATCATAATCTATTTTATATTTTTGTGTAAAACCACGTGCAACTAATTTAGATTTATATCTAACTGGATTTCCCATTTCATCATGCTTTAAAGTAAATACCCACTTACAATCTACAATATTCCTATTTTGTGGTCTCTTAACAATAGTCCATGTCTTATTTAATTCATGAGCAGAAAGTTCGTCCTTAATGGCTTCTTCCCATAACGATTTATGTATCTTTTCTACTTTGTACCTCATTAAATGAATTAGGGACTTCGTTGAACACAGTATGTGCATTCATTATAAAACGTTTTAGATTTATTTCATCTTCATTATAGGATATATATGATTTATTTTTTAATCTATCTCTTCTTCTGGTTACATCATTAGTAACTTTATTAGCGATTTCGTTTGTTGACATTTTTCTAGACTGCTTAACTTCCTTACTCTCATTAAGGAAACTGTCCTTATCACTATCCTTACTTTCGCTCTGGATCTCTCGTTCAAAGCATTCCATGATCTCATTCTGGAAATTTTCATTCTCATAATACTTACTCTCATTCCGGATCTCTTTTTCACAACATTCCATACTCTCATCCTGGAAATTATATTCAACATCTTCCTTACTTTTATTCAGGAGATTACTTTCCTTACTTTCTTTCATATAATATTCTCATTGTCCTTATTATCATTTCACTTTTAGCAGCTCTAAAGTTAACCATATTTCTCTCATCTAAAATTACATCTGTAGCAACCATGAATTTTTCATTTTCGATATCCCATAATTTTAAACCATTTGGTTCGTATCTGACAAATATAGTTTTAAACTATCCTCTTTTCTTCTCTTTTCTAATTTTATTGTGTACATATACAGTCGAACCAAATATTTTTAAATATTTCAAAATCAGCTTTCTATTATGTCAGTAGGGTTAACACTATTAAGAAGATTATTGTCACTAAATAAATTGTTTCTTTTTACTTCTATCATTTATCCTTTGCTTACATGTCCCAGCCTCTCATGCCATAATTTATATAAATTCTTATTATACCCTTGCAGGGTATTATAATTTCAGTCAGAAGTTTGCAACGCAGTGAAGGTAGACGTTTCCGACCCTATAAAGTATATATATTCTTGATCAGCATCAACAGCCGAGTCGATCTAGCCATGGCCGTCTGTCCGTCTGTCCATCTGTCCGTCTGTCCGTCTGTCCGTCTGTCTGTTTCTACGCAAACTAGTCCCTCAGGTTTAGAGCTATCTGAATGAAACTTTGCATATAGTCTTCTATATGCTCTCACTGCTATATATGTCGGAACGGGCCGGATCGGACGACTATATCATATAGCTGCCATACAAATGTTCAATAAATTTTTAGAAAAAAATGTTAACTTGGCTGTTTTTCAATATTATTCCATCATTTTTGAGATATAGCCTTTTTTTATTATTCCAGAATTTTGGTAAAAATTTTATGAAAATCGGACCACTATATCTTATAGCTGCCATAGGTACGATCGGGAAATTAATCAAAAAAATTATAACTTCGTTGTTTTTCAACGTATTTTAATCTACTTTTGACACATGAGCTTCTGGTATTATTTAAAAATTTTGGTATAAATTTTATGAAAATCGGACGACTATATCTTATAGCTGCCATAGGAACGATAGGGAAAGTAATAGGAAAAATTATAACTTCGTTGTTTTTCAACGTATTTTCATCTACTCTGAGATATGAGCTTTACTTATTATTATAGAATTTTGGTATACATTTTATGAAAGTCGGACAACTATATCATATAGCAGCCATAGAAGCGATCCGTAGATGTAGAGAAAATTTAAAGCTGGGAATGTATAACTGTAACTGTCAAACTGTAAACATAATAAGTATAGGTAAAATGGTATGTAACTCAGTTTAGTGTCTGTTTTCGGCATTATAATCTATAATATAAATATGAAAACCAATCTGCAAGGGTATACAAACTTCGGCGTGCCGAAGTTAGCTTCCTTTCTTGTTTTGTTTATAACTTTATATGCTTTAAATTCAATAACTGGCATATCGTACGCACCTGAGTTTTCAGCAATAGTGACATTATCTTTGATCAGCTTCACTCCATTCTCGTCGAACACGACTGTCACTCCAGCCTGTTGTAGCCTTTTTACCGAGATCAAATTTTCGGCAACTTCTCCGCAGTAGAGTACGTCTTCCAGTGTTATCTGATAGTCACTTTCCAGTCGGACGATTCCACTCTTTGTTGTAAATGTACATTCTCCATGTTTGGCAACGGAAATCTTTATTGGAGTTTCCAGATCAGCATGGAACACAAATAATGTCTCATCGTTTATAAGGTGGTCACTAGCACCGGAGTCAAGAATAAAGTTCACGTTCGCGTTTAATTTATTTTGAATTTTATTTACACTTCTTAACATGAACGCGAAACCTGGCGTGGTTGTTGCAGTGTGCGCTTGCTTGTTTTTTTCTTTATTATTTTTATTATTTATTTGTCTTTTATAGCCGTAACATGTTATAACGTATGTGTCCTAGTTTTCCACAGTGGTGACATTTTATATTATTTAGTTTTTTTTTTCCATTATATGGTTTGCGATTATTGT